TTGTTAATCAACTTTCTCATGAATATTTCAATGCTGATGCCATTTTCGTACGGTTCAGTAGAAAGAGATGTACAAAAATAGTCTGCGTTCTTTTTATTTACATTCTGGTTTCTGTATCTATTAGCTCCTCGGACCCCCTGTCTTGTCTGCTGTTATCATATTTTTAGTTCTCTTACCTCTGAATTTTGGGATCAGCAAGAAGAGAAGCCAGCTCCAGGTATGGGTCCCAAAACACTTCTGTTTTCTGGAAAATAAGTAAATCTAATTCCCCTCCCTTAGCCTGTCTTTGTATCACCGGGTGATTTCCAAAAATGCTGGCTAAGAATTCTCACAAATGGCAACTAAAACCCATGCTAGTTGGGCATCTTGGGACTTGTAGTCCCAAGATCTGAAGGACTTCCAGATGGGGAATGTTGACAAAAATCACAATTCCCACCCCAGAACATTGTTTGTTTCATTGTTATCTGTGAACAGAGGAGAAGCAGAAGCTACTGAAATAAGTAATTGCTGGACACACATCTTTTTAAACAAATTTTATTCAGTTTTTCACATAAAAACAAAAATCTCTTTTTAGTGGACAACATATTTCCCGGTCATCACCTTTACATACAAATATGACAGCAATTATACATTCATATATGCATACTTAATTCTATGATTACCTTAGTCCAATTTAGTTAAATCTTTAGTTCCGGCTTCTTCCTTTGCTGGACACACATCTTTAATTTCATATCATTTGTTGGTAGATATGGAATTTTGCTTTGGATTCTAACAAAAAGTTTGAGCCTGAAATTGACCAAATTTGTGCCCCAATGGGAATTTCAATGTTTCAGGTAGACAACTTCTGTCCAGCTATGACTCTCTGACGGTGTTTTGTGTTTTTTCCTTATATACTGTATATTACAATGTTGTAAACCACTTCAGTCATGCCTGTTGGGACAATGTAAAACAAAGCAAAAAGATCTGCAAGAAGTAATATAACCGAATAAAATAAGACAAATACGAATCCTTTAAGATGGATCTTCTAACCAACCAAGGTCAAACCCATGTTTGGATAAGTTGATCTTCAGAACTTGTGAAACGCAGAAAGAGCCAGGACTGAGCAGAGCTCCATGTGTGTTTGTTTCTATGTGTAATGTTGTGAATGATTAGACGTATTACTGTGCTTATTGTCATGTTCCATTTCTCCTGTTGGAGCTACAAACTTGAATTCCATCTTTCAGGAAACGCAGATAAAGTACAAGGACAGCCGTGCAAGGCTTACCAGCACCATCCTCAGTGACATGAAGGTCCTCAAACTTCATGGCTGGGAGAAGAAGTTGATAAGTAAAGTGCTGGGCATCCGAACTCAAGAACTTCAAGCTCTCAAGACGTCTCAGTTCCTCTTCTCAGCTTCTCTTGCTTCCTTCCAGTCATCTACTTTTCTGGTGAGCTGTGCAGATTGACCTTCCCCAAATGGCCTATGATAGGGTTTTGAGAGGGTTTCACCTCATCTCTGGTTGCTTCTCTACAGATTTCATTCATCGTCTTTGCGGTCTACACGTTGTCAGATAAGACAAATGTCTTGGATGCTAAGAAAGCTTTTGTTTCTCTTAGCTTGGTCAACATTCTCAATACTGCCCATTCCTTCCTTCCATTTTCCATTAATGCTGTTGTCCAGGTGAGTTGCTTTGGCTACATGGCATCAGTTTCTGTGGTGGGTCATCATTCCAGGCACTCCAGGTCTGCATCTCCAAGTGGTCTTCCTGTTAGGCAGTTGCTTCAAGCATGTTGTTAGGTATAACATTGATACCAAATATGGTTTGGGTGAATAAAT